GCGGTGTTTCACCACTACTTCGACTACAGTGAGACTCCCAACTACCGAAAATTGCTGCAGGAGGCTCTTGAGAAGGGATTGCAAGTCTTCAAGTAAGGGAGCACCTGGTTCATATTGTCTGCAGACAATTTCCATGTCTTTTCTTTCCACAGCGGAGAGACACAGCTGATTAAAAAAATATCGTCCACGCCAGACTGACTGACGCTTCCCCCTTCAACTCCTAACCATTGCATTTGTGCTGTGCTGCGCTGATCTCTTCAAAAGAAATGAGTACCCAAAGGACACAGAGGCGTGGGAAGCGATCTGGACAGAAGATGCAGGAGCCAACTTAGCATACCTTCTCGGTTCTAACAGCACTCAAATAGGCTGTGTCATTGGAAAGTGCACCAAAGAACCAGTCGACGCTAATGTCCTAGACAACGATACTGGAACTACAACAGAAAAAGCTGCGCTTTTCTGTAAACTACAACCTGCAGCAACGGCTAACCAGGCCGCCTTTGAGTAAGTTTTGGGTTTCGGAGTGCAACATCCAGGGGCTGCTTACGAAAGGATTTAGACAAATATCCACCGAAACTGGATATGCGCTTTCTGTGCTATGTTTCTCTGTGTTTGTTCTACCTTGCAGTGAGGAGTACTTCAACGGACTTATTACACGGAAAACTGCTCTAGCAGATATGACAGAAGACGACCTGAAGGCTTCTGTTGGAAATGGAGCAGCAGCAGCAGCCGTCCCTACGATCTTAATTGCCGGTTTGCTTGCCATGTTCGCAGCTGTCTCTGCCTAAAATGCAACGTCTCTCTAGCTAAGCAGCTAGCCACCCGCCTCCTAGCTAGCTATTTTACACAGCCCTTTGCCAACCCAAAAGGTGTCCTTGGCTTCACGCGGTGACGCTTCACTTGGTGCGTGAACAGTCACGCCCTGGCGGTTGTTCCAAGCAAACCCGTAGCAGCATGGGGAACACGGAGCGTCAGAGTTAAGACTTTGCACGCTGATGCCATTCCACTTTGCATTGCCTTTGAGGCGCTTTAATCAACTTGCAGCGACAAATGCAGCCGTTCACATCGTCCTGGACTATCTTTTTAACTATGCTTCTCCGCTAGGCAGACAAAATGTACGCACGAAGTTCGCTCTCCACTCCATGCGGCAAATGGTTGAGCTTGAAATTCAAACAAACACCCAAGTTAGAATCAAAAGAACTGAATCACTATATGAATGCAGCTAATGTCTGGAGCAATGAATAGCACATGCGACATAAGGACCGAAACGACCAGAGCAGAAACGCATGAGAGGCGCAAACGCTTGCTGAATTAAGCTCTAAAAGAAAAGTCACTTAGTGACCTGTGACTTGCTGTTGGGATCCGTATGACCTTCGCTTTTGTCTGCCTCTCGGAGACCAAGCAAACATGCACAAGTTGCAGACAATCCTCAGATCTGATCGAGGAGTCTCGTAACACTCGGTAACGCCGCATGGTCCATCGGGGCAGGTGTCAGCGAATAACTGTACCCCTCCAGCAAGGTATCCGGGTGCCTGCCAGTCATCAATAGTCTGGGCGCTTTGCCAAAAAGGACAGACTAATCAAGAACTTTTCGACTCTCCTTAGGCACGTCGACGCAGGAGGCAAGGTTCCGTCTCTGTCTACCTTTGTTTATCAATCAACCCTTGAGCAATGCTTCGTTACACAGGCGCTGGCTGTACCTGCGTGTGCGTCTAGTACACACACTAACATGTTACAGAGAAGCACACAAGAGAAGAAGACGAAGCAAGGATATAAGCCACTACAGGAGGGCATCATCGCAGCAGAGGAAAT